AGGAGTGGCTATACTTGAGACTATGTTGTTTAACTCACACTTACATATTATGACGTTAAATATTGCTGAATGATTGTCATTTCTCTGATCTGCACTTGTGCTGAGTTTCGGATTTGAATGGTCTAAAGTTAGAGCTTCGTAGTACTGCCCACGAGCCTACTTTCATCTGCAGACTCGTATACAAATAATAATAACTCCCGCTATTAAGTTAAGAATAGACGTGTAGGCGGCGAGTACTTCTAATGAGATACCCTCCCTTTAATCAGAAGTTCTAACTCAAAACTACATCTGAATGTTGTAGTTTCTAATCTGGCTGTTTAGCCCACATGTCGACTACTAAGGTATCATTCATTTTGAACATACTAAATACCTCTAAACTTTGACTGGCATGAGTTAAATAACATAGTCTCAAGTATAGCCACTCCTCACTTAGGTTCTCAATGATTTTCGAATACCCATTTGTGATTTGTGTAAACTGCTTATTCTTATCGGTGTTTCAGATATTCGGATGACTTGGGAGCAACTTATATCCTGTACTATTTGAACATTTTTAAAATAATGTACAAGAAGAAAAGTAGCGCCTTGAAAGATTTATTATCAGGTCACCTCTTTTTCTGCGATTTTTCAAAGTGTGGTGCTTTCCCGGATATATTTCTTATTCTTCAGTTATAGAATTGTGATTATTTAACTGATCAAATACGAGAATTTGAAGAATGCTATAATATCATAATGCGTTTAAGGCTGAGCTTGCTGTAGAGTTTTTAGTATGATTTTTTATCGGTCATGAAAGAGAATAATAGTACAGCAGTAGCAATGATCTTTGATTACGTGAAACTAGCTATATTTGGCGTCTCACTATTTTGCTTTCGTACTGTTAGGTGTGTGTGGTGTTTGGGTTATCCTTTTCACCACAAGTAGCCTATATTTATTAAAGTATTTTGAAACATACGTACTATTAATGCTACGAATTTATTATTCTTAATTTGTCAATAGACAAGCTTTTTAAGATAAAGTGGTTTTCTTTCTCTTAACGTTAAATTCGAATTTTAGAGAGGGCGGTCGCCTCGAAGTCTGCGGGTCGCGGGTTCGAATCCCTGTCCCACCAAACATGCTTGCCCTTTCAGCTGTGGGGACGTTATAATGTGAGGGTCAATCCCACTATTCGTTGGTAAAAAGAGTAGCCCAAGAGTTGGCGGTGGGTTTTGTTTATCATCTGCCTTGCCTCTAGTCTATCACTTCAAAATTAGAGACGCCAATCACAGCTAGCCCTCAAGTAGATTTTCGCGAAATTCAACAAACAAACAAACTGACTTCGGTTGATACCTCAATATATCGGTAGTAATCGACAAAAGAGTAAAAAGTCTGGATTTCAGTAAGTAAAGATATACAATATTAACAATGAATAATGGAATAATGAGTAATGGAGGGAAAATAAAGGGTAAAATGCACATTAACAATCAGATGTTGTTTTTGACACGAGTAAAGAGTTCGCTTTCATAATTATATGAACGGTCAAAAATATTCGTTAAGATATAGATTTAATCATTTTTTAATATTTATAAGGGGCCGGAAGTGGCCTAGTGGTTAGCTTATTTGGACTTTCAATCTGAGAGGTGATGGTTCGCATCAACCTGTCGCAAAAACGCGCTCTGTATTTTTGTGCATTATAAGTGCAACATTCAAATCTCATTGTTCGATCATAAAAGAGTAACCCAAGAACAGGCGGTTAGAGCTTTTGACTAGCCGCCCTGAGCACTGTTGCTGTTGACTGGCTACTTTCCTTCTTGTCTGCCAGTTTATAATTTTAAGTTGTTTTTTTTTCATTTTCATTTGGAGTAATGTTAAGCCGCTTTTAATTTTTATTTGTGGCTTTTACGTATATATAAAGACTGTGCAGCCTCCCTAGTGAAATTATACGAGGTGAAGGCATTGTCCCTTTTTGATTGACTATCCCTAAGCTTATACAACCTCTCGTACAACTGGCCGTTTAGTGTTGAGCCTTAGTATTAATGATTTTATTTTTTGCTATACTAGTACACAAAAATACCTATATTTAAATAACTTCACATACATAAAGTTGAGTAATCTCTTCATCACTTAATAATTAACCCAATATCGTCATCCAGTCATTTATTAAGTCCTCAAGGATGGCTAGTCGGGTGTGTCATGTGATATCATACTAGGGTAGTTTTAAATATTGTGATAATTTAGCATTGAAAGAACTAACACTAAGTAAGCTGGTCCTGTGAGTGGTAATATTTATCATTAACTTCTGTCCAAAGCAAGCTACCCAAATAGGTCAAACCTACAAACTGACCAATAATGAATATAGTTAATTTATATTCGGTTGTGAGTTTAAGTTCGGTTATAACGGTTGTGAGTTTAAGTACCTTTGTTACGATCTCCGTCTGCGTTCACTAGATATTCACAGAACATATTCAACGCTTGGCTTGACATGGCGGTTAGCGCACTCGATTCTCACTAAATATTTTCCCTCTTTCAGCAGTGGGGCGTTACAATCTGATGGTAAATAGTTACTTAAGATTTAGCTGCCTTCGACAAACAAATTCCAATGCTGTTGGTTTTTTGTTCTTGTTTTTGCAGTAACAGGTGAATGTTGGCCCAGTGGTTGAGCTCCGAATTTCAGAGCTAGCGAGCAGGTTTATAATCCGCGCGATACTACATAATATCTTCCCTCTTTAAGCTGTGGGTGCGTTTCTCTTAGCACAGATGGTGGGTGGTAGGGTGCCGCTGACTGGCTGCCTTTCCTCCGGTCAGTGGTTGAAAATTTGGGACGACGGAAGACAGCATTAGTATCTTTGCCAAAATACAAAATAACAAATACCGCAGTGTTTACTTTATAGTATTATATCTTTGGTGGTGCCCTTCAAAGTGGCACAGCGGTAGTTTCCGGAGTTACAACGCTAGAAGCCGGGTTTCGATACCCGTGGTGGGCAGAGCACAGATAGCCCATTGTGTAGCTTTGTGCTTAACTTCAAACATACAAACATTTTTTGGGAGTTCACTGCGAATGATACAACACTACTGATTGTTTTATATATTCATGACTAACTTGATTGCCATCTATAAACGATACAATTTGGTTTGTTTGTTTGCCCATTTATAATTTATACTATTTTTTATGCTTGTTTGCTCATTTGTAATTTATTCTATTTTTATGTTTCTTTGCTCATTTATAATTTATTCTATTTTTATGACTGTTTGTTCATTTATAATTTATACTATTTTTTATGCTTGTTTCCTCATTTGTAATTTATTCTATTTTTATGTTTGTTTGCTCATTTATAATTTATTCTATTTTTTATGACTGTTTGCTAATTTATAATTTATTCTATTTTTTATGACTGTTTGCTCATTTATAATTTCTGCTATTTTTCATGTTTGTTTGCCCACGGATATTAACGTTATTTTTTTCTCTAACGTTAATTTTCTATTTACAAATATGACAAAATAAAGAATGAGGTAGGTAAATGTAATAAATAACAAGATTTCTGTTCATTTACAATCACGTATTTTTTGTCCTTAAATATATCATTCTAAATTTGTAAACAATGAAATGTTAGCATTAGTTTCATTACTTTTCACTAGGAATGAATATATATATATATTAATTTGTTTATATATTTGTATATACATTATACATTTCTTCATGTTTTTTACATAGTGACAGTATTTTTTTTATTGGACGACGTCCTTATTGTGAGCTGATATTGTGACCCTAATATTAATTTATAGCAGAGACATTATATAAAATTTAACATTCAAATTGTATTTTTAAGTAGAAAGTCTAAGAAAATATTTATAAGCAGATTACTTCGAAAAATGATAACATCTGATAGTATTTATAGCCGAACTAATACACCCATTTTGACAAACATATCAAACTCTCTCTCTCATCCTGCTACACAAGGAATCAGTAAACGTTAGGAGGAGAATATTGGAGGTAAGAGATACGGAATTACTGTTTGAAACGATTCCCTAAAGCAAAATGAATCGACTTAAAATCTTTTTCTCGTATTTTAGGTTTTTTTAAGTGAAGAGAGCGCTATAGGTAAGATCGAGAACATAGGAAGATCTGGAGTTATTCACACTTGAAGCAGAATACACTGATTGGTTCACTGGGTTCATAAATCGAGGACCCCTTGTGTGATAAGGCAGGTTCTGTTCGTTAATGCTCCCATGAGGCAGGTGAAAAAATAAGATCTAAGCCTAAGCTCTTTCTACAAGTACGTGTAACAGAGGTTACCTTATCCAATTTTCAAACGATACTTTTTTTTTTTGTATAGAATAACATTTGTTTTTACTCTAAGCAATTCACCAGCGTATTACTAGCCTTGACTAAAGAAGTAATAAACGTTTTACACGCTCGTGTCAACGTAATTATTTTCCTTTTAAGGTAAACATTTACATAAATATAGTAATCCTGATGACAAATTTTGCTTAAGCTTATTTACAATAATAATGGGTATTTTGGAACATTTAAAAGTAGCTTTATTGTGCAGTTCATCTTCAGACAAAATAATAATCAAGCAAATATGAAAATATACAAGAAAAATTATCGTGTAAGACTTTTTAGACTTAGAAAGTGCTACCAACTTTTGCCATACGTGATAAATAATACCTGCTTGTTGTGGCGCTTGAAATAGCTCGAATATTTCAATAAGATTTGCTGATTATTTAAGAAGCATAACATGGAATTTAGTTTCATTTGTCCGAAAAGCAATATTTAATGTGAAATAAATGGATAACTGTAATCTGTCGCATAATCTGATAAATTCCATAACTATTATCATATAAAATGTAATCGCATTGTTAGTTAATTAAATTACTACTTGTATGGCTGATTAATAGGGCAGTTATATCTAATAAAGTGAATAAATAAGTGTTGATAATCGTTAAACAGTAAGATTAATCAACAATATTCGTTGATACTATAGATGATATTGTTTTTAGTTACTACACCAAATCAACGAATCAGTGTGAACTTCAACCTTGTCTACGACCACAAATCAAATTGTCACCGTAACTAAGAAATATTACCGTTAATAAGTTAGTGGCCCCCCAGTGGCATAGCGGTATGTCTGCGGACTTACAACGCTAGAAACCGGGTTTCGATACCCGTGGTGGGCAGAGCACAGATAGCCCTTGTGTAGCTTTGTGCATAATTAAAAACAAACAAACAATAAGTTAGTGTGAGTAGGTTTGGGATCGAGACTAAATCGAAGTGGATCTAACCAAGTTTAAAATAAAGCCCTCCATATCCGTGATTTAACGATAAGACATGTATGATAAACATGAAACATTTTAAGGCTATCGAATTTTGTAAAGAAAATTATGTTTTTATAAACCGCAGTATCAAATAGTTAACCAATATATCAAACAGCATGTGCAAACAATTACTACATGTCGGCTTTCCACGATAACCTATTCCTGAAAGTTCTTAAATTAAATGGCAACAGTTATTACTACATGTCGGCTTTCCACGATAACCTATTCCTGAAAGTTCTTAAATTAAATGGCAACAGTTATTACTACATGTCGGCTTTCCACGATAACCTATTCCTGAAAATTCTTAAATTAAATGGCAACAGTTATTACTACATGTCGGCTTTCCACGATAACCTATTCCCGAAAATTCTTAAATTAAATGGCAACAGATATTACTACATGTCGGCTTTCCACGATAATCTATTCCTGAAAGTTCAGAAAACATGTGGCAACAATTATTAGTGTGGATTTTCCAAAGATATTTTATACCTAAAAGTTAATATGATACATACAATTCACAATAATGTACCATCCGGTTTCAATGATGCTTCCTGGCATTCGAGGGTTTTCGGCTCTACAAACGAAATACTTCCCATTATCTTCTGTAGATGGCGTGTATGTCAAAAGGCTACTGCTGTACCCGCTGTTAACCTCCCTGTCAGAGGCTGAGTGCAGTCTCCGATTTCCTAGCCACCATGTAATAACTGCTGCTGGGCGAGCACCCGTGGTTACGCAGAGAAACTCTACTTTGGCCTCAACAATCAGTGGTACTTGAAAGGGTTCCAGTTTGATTTTTTCAGGTTTGACTGAAAAAAAAGACATGCGAAAGAAAAAATTAAGAGACTTAATGCTGTCAACCTTTTGCGAAATCTTATAAATCAAATCAAACCCTCGCAAAACCATAAAAGTAAATAAAACACATTTTTCCATGGTCATATCTTTTCAGTCAATCTATAGAAGTAATTTTTACCATAAACACACACGCACATGTACATAGGTATCGGAACCAGTTCAAGCCGAAACATTGTAAATATGAAACGATTCGGATATATCATGGTCATATCTTTTCAGTCAATCTATAGAAGTAATTTTTACCATAAACACACACGCACATGTACATAGGTATCGGAACCAGTTCAAGCCGAAACATTATAAATATGAAACGATTCGGATATATCCATACATATTAAATGTTTTGTTCTTGTACAATATAATAGTTCAAATTGTCATCCACGAACATATTATTAGCATCCATTTCGCAGAAAAAACAAAATTGGATGAAGCAGCAGAATGGTCTGTTTTGTTTCGAATTTCGCGAAAAGCTACACGAGGACTATCTGCGCTAGCCGTCGCTAATTTAACAGCGAAAACTAGAGAAAAGGTAGCTAGTAAACATCATCTGCCGCCAACTCTTTGTCTACTATTTCTTACAACGTATAGTGGGATTGATAATCACGATATAACGTCCCCACGACTGAAAGGGCGAGCATGTTCGGTGAAGGGAATTGGAACCTGAGACCAGCAGATTGCGAGTCGACTGCCCGAACCATCAAGCCATGCCAGGCTTAAAATATTAAGAGTATCATACACATTTTATATACACGATATGTTAAACGACTCTGATGAAATTTTGAAGTTGTTGCCGTTGCTTTATTAAGAATGGGCTTGCCATATTTGATGCATTTTGTTGAAAACTTTAAATATATCATCATCATCATAATTTGCTATATTCAAATTGAAGTAATCAACTTTGGTACGTGAAATGTGTATGTAAATATATATTACACAGATATGCAGATGAAAGAAACAATGGACGGTTATCAGAGTGGATAAGTGAAACTGTAGAAGGCTGCACATATACACGGTGGATTAATTTCATTTTTTGAAATGATTGATATATATGTCAAGGACTAGACATATTTCTACCAATTGGAGCAGACATTTACTACGGTAACAAATTATTACAAGTTTAACTGTGTCATGTATAGTGCATATACACACGAAAATATGTGAAGTTTCTTAACTATCTAATGATTATACTGGGATTGGATAAAATACAATCCAAAATCGAAAAAGTCATAGAAGGAAATAGACAACCTAATAATCCCTCCCCCCAAACATAGAGAATAGAAAAGAAACTGGATGCACATTAGACACTAGGTTGTTGTTGTTATAAAATAGAGATTAGAGATCGAAATCAATGGCAAGAACTGGATATGTGAATAGTGAAATCACTCAAACATCAACCTTCAATCATGTATAACAGAAAAAACCGGAAGATAAACAACTATAAAATTTGGCGTCAATCTGAAATTCTGTAAATAGAAATAAATATCCACAAAAACTTAAACTGGAAAAATCTACAAATGATATATATCAAGAATATATAAGTTGATTACGTTATAGTAAAACGATTTAAGAGCCTCATCTAGTCGTTAAAGTGCATACAAAATGCTTCGTTCTGAGGTTGTCATGTCCAAAGAACGCTATTACTTTCTGCTTGCTTTCCGTAATCCACATAGTGTACAAGGACGACGATTTTCCAGAACAGTCCAATCAAACAGAAATCCTACCCCTTATCAATAGTTCACGATTTGGATGGCTATTCTTTAACACTGGGAGTTTCTCACCTGACTGTTTAACCCAAAAGTGCTTAAGGTGCCGTCCAGATTGAAAATTCCAATTTCAGTTACTTAGTTTACTTATTCTTAACTTTCTAAAAGTAAAAGTCACACTGGTCAGCTTGGTGATTGGAGTGATGAGGGTGGATCTGTGGAATTGGATAAGAAAGATGCTATCTAAATCAAGTTCTAATGGGCATTATAACTCAAAGAATATTAATAATATTATTGGAGGGAAGAAAACCTGTGCTATGACAGGTGCCAAACTTTCCAAGCGTTACATAGTAATAGAGGTAATATTAAAACTATATTATTTAAATTTGGTACCTTGTGTTAAAAATAAGAATAATTATGATTTAAAAAAGCGATGCATAATAATTAACAGTAATAATCTATAAAGTTAAACTGGTTCGAATTGTGTGGAAGAAAACCTGAGTCTTAGCTAGTGTTAAACTGTTCTAGGGAAATAAAGTGAAAAAGTTATAGAAAGGTTGCAAAGATTTGTCTTACATGTTAGTACAACATCTTGATGTACTCCCCAAATAATGCACATTGAGTATTATTTAAACATCTTCGCAACCTTCTAAAATCAGCCTAATAAAAACTTCGTGTCCCACTGGCTCATCAAGCATGTATAATTATACAAATTACTATGTTTCGTAGTTCTGGGCCTAGCATGGCCCGGTGGTTAATACGATTGACTCATGATCTGCAGTTGACGGGTTTGAATCCCATTATCGATCATGCTCGCCTTTTCTGTCGTTAGGGCGTTATAATATGAGGGTCAACCCAATATTTAGTTTGTAAATGAGGTAGTCCAAGAGTGGGTAATGTTTACTAGCTGTTTTCCATCGTCCATCGTTTCTAAATTAGGGACGACTAGCGCAGATAGCCCTTGAGTAGCTTTGCACGAAATTCAACTAACAAACAGATTACTAGTTCTGAATATAGTTTTTGATGTCTGACGGATCTCAAAATTATGTAGTAATCAAATCTTCCCTTGAAGTATAAAACTTTTTATTTAAAATATATATGGCTAGGTACATTTTTATATGATCATTGAACGTGATTATGAAAAAGAAAGTGACGTACAATTGTGCTACACAGAAAAGCGTTAAGAATGAAAACAATTACTCTTAAATAAAATTATAATAGCTTGAAAAATTAACTCCTACGTGATCCCTTTAATTTGAAGAAAAAAAGAAACAAATTGACAGAGCAAGTAAAGTATATCAAACAGTAGCAACGTTTTAAACGTTAATTAAGCTACAGGGTAACTAAAGCCATTTTCAAGTAGTTAGCAAAATGTTCCTTTAATGTGTCGAAATTTAAAAATTGATATATATTTTTTTATTCTCGTGCAATTAGTCTAACAAACAGCGCAACGGGTGTTACTAAGTAATACGTATTGTCGCTGATAGAATATATATATACAAGTAGACACTATGTGAGAGACAGCAAACAAGAGACGAACTATGACACGCCAGTGCAATATTCGAATAAAACGAGTTTACCTAGCTTGAGAGATGAAATTAAAGGATAATATAATTTCTAGAAACAAAAAATAATAAAGCGATTCGTACGTAACTCGCGTTTTATTTTGCCTACAAATAGTTATATGTGCTGAAATTATAAGAAACCATAGAAAGTGATAAACTAGTATGAGTATGAATAAACGTAAATTATGTGATGAAATATTTAAAACTTCACAACGAATAGAATTACTGGTACTATTGTAAAATAATGAAACAAGTATAGCAAGTGAAATACTAGTTTACTTTTAAACCCTGATTAGTAAGTTTTATTTCCTGTTAAAACAATTTAATTCGAAAGTGCATCAAATCCCATTGAAACAACAAGAAAATAAGATATTAGACGAAACTATAAGTGGATAAAAAATAACAAGAATTAACAATATATTTCTTATATTGTATAGGCCTATTTAACATGGGATCGTAATGGTGGACGGCAGTTGTTTGAAGCTATAATTGATAAACCAATTTAAGCAACATCTATTATTTTCATACAACATCTTTCTGATATTGTATAGGCCTATTTAACATGGGATCGTAATGGTGAACGGCAGTTTTTTGAAGCTATAATTGATAAACCAATTTAAGCAACATCTATTTAACATGGGATGGTAATGGTAGACGGCAGTTGTTTGAAGCTATAATTGATAAACCAATTTAAGCAACATCTATTTAACATGGGATCGTAATGGTGAACGGCAGTTTCTTGAAGCTATAATTGATAAACCAATTTAAGCAACATCTATTATTTTCATACAAAGAAGTCAAACTTTTTCACAAAATCTCTTTAAGCCACTTTAATACTAATTTACCTGAGAAAAACAAACAAACATATTTTCAGCTGCATGAGTTAGTACATTTCAAGGGAAAGCATAAGCTCACTATACTATATTATATGTATTATATCAAATTAATATTATTTTAGCTAACTTAGTGGTTTACATAAACGTGGCGTGTCTTTATTAATTGCATAATACACATTTTTAAAATTACATTTTATTACTTTTTGTATATTTATAAATACAAAAATTGGTTATAGGACTATGCGTGCTAATTGTTCGTCTCCCAAAAGTGTTAAAATATCAGGAAAACGGTTGTTACTAACTTCAAAAATAATACTAAAACTCAGGATTCGACTGATTGTTTCAGGATGAGAAATAGATTATATACAACAAGAAAACAGACACACACATCCGGTAGGCTTATCTACCAGTTACTTGATGGATACACAACTTACGGTTAAGGTCGATACTGACAGAGCTGGATACTGGAACTGTGACATTGTTGTTAGACGACTGACAGGTTAGGTTTGTTAGTAAGTCGTATCGCCACAGTTTACGAATATTTAACACGTTCTCAACTATCTTGTTTGGAAGGAAAACATATTCTTTGTCCAACAAGGAATTACCTTTCCACCAAGAAACTGTCGGTCGGGGTTTACCTAAAACATAAATATTTAGACGTAAGTATATTTGAACGAAATAATGAGTTGATAGTGATTAACTGGCGAAGGTTTTTAATAGGCTCTCGTCTAGTAGAAGGTTGAAATGACGACGTATCGATCCACAAACACGAATTTTCTTCTACTGGTTACCGGTGGATCGAAACGTCGTCTCTCTTATATATTTTAACAAGCAAGTTTGTTTGTTTGTTTTTAATTATGCACGAAGCTACACAAGGGGCTATCTGTGCTCCGCCCACCACGGGTATCGAAACCCGGTTTCTAGCGTTGTAATTCGCTGTGCCACTGGGAGGCAGCAAGCAAGTTAAAGTAAATGTTAGTAGATTGAATGTTAACTGTCCACCCTTTTTACTATCAGTATAAAAAATAAAAATATTAAAAATATAAAAAACATCGTAACATTTAATCGTAAGAGTAAAAAATACACACTTCTGTGAATTAAATCATCTTCTACCATTTTAATCGTAAGAGTAAAAAATACACACTTCGGTGAATTCGAATTCACCAAAGTGTGTATTTTTACTCTTACGATTAAAATGGTAGAAGATGATTCAATTCACCAAAGTGTGTATTTTTACTCTTACGATTAAAATGGTAGAAGATGATTCGATTCACCAAAGTGTGTATTTTTACTCTTACGATTAAATTGGTAGAAGATGATTAATCATATTCTACCAATTTAATCGTAAGAGTAAAAATACACACTTTGGTGAATCGAATCATCTTCTACCATTTTAATTGTACTTGCAATTGAAGTTGCGATAAATATGACTTGTTGGAGATTGTGCTATGTATATTGACTTTATCCCTGAAACAGGTTTTCTATTGCTAAATTACTTTGCAAAAGGCATTGGAGTTTTACCAATTTCTTGACTCAAACGGGAGGGAAGAACTCATTTTCAAATGAAGCTTTATTTGCAAGAGTTGAACAGATGAGTACATAAATTGTATTGATCGAAAGATCTAATACTAAGTTATCATTGAAAAACAACTTGGTCCTTTTTATCATTTCCACGACACAATGATACCAAAAAAAAGCCATTAATTTCTGTGCGATCCTTATTTTAGATATAAAAATTGGAATTCATGTTCGGAATTCCAATACAGAAACAGACTTCTAAAAATGCAGAGTAGTACGAATTATAAAGGATAACACTATTGAGCAGCAAGATGCTCCAATTTTTGTTACTTCTATCATTGGCCGTATGTGTCTTTTAAGTGGAAACATCCCCAAGAACTACAATATCTGATTTACAATACTATTCATTTATTACTAATTCAACAATAGGTGTTTTCATACAGCAACTACGATACGCTACTATTGATGTTGCAACAATTAAGTAGTCATTGTGCCAATAATAACATACTAATTCCAAGCCACGCAGATATTTTTTTATTTTTTTTACCACAGCTGCTTGGGAAAGAGGAACATTGTACCCTCATCTGTTTACAAATTCTCTAACTGCTATAGTTTTCAACAAACTTGAGATTTAATATTTAAAGTCAACATCACACAAAGCATATACGTCTATTGATCTGTTACGTCTGTTTGTTATATGTGCATATATAACACACTATGTTGGCGGACACTAGCCTCCAGTCAGTATTACGGAAAGTAGGGTTTATCAAGCAACCATCTAGTTCAGCATGCTATGAAATAACACACCAGTCAATGAAAGATATTCCTTCTGCCAGATATTTGCTCGTGAAGTAAATTAATAGGAGAAAAAGTGCAAACATCACTGCCAGTATGTTACCTTGAAACTAATGAAAAACTATTATGTTAAGAAAATCGTTCATTTTATTTTCTGGTTCAATATAATGAGTTAGAAAAGAGTCTTTAGTTATGTTATAGTTGAGCAGGTATATCTTTAACTCAGGATTATAGGTATTTTGTCTCACCAGTGAAGAAATGAATTTTAGAACAAAAATAAAAACAGTTTGGAGTTCAAAAATGCTACTAATTGTGCTCCCAATATTTTACAAAATTTGAACTTCGAAACCAGTTTGGACATTTAAATATATATATATACATTCGACTTCAGAACAGGATATTTAAAGTATATTTTCAAAATTTTGAATTGTTTTAAATATGTTTGTTCGGTCTATTGAGTTTTATTATTCTAATCCCACCGGAAGATCGGTGGTAAAGTTTAGGACTTACAATTCCAAAATGTGGGATTCATTTGTTTGTTTGTTTGCTTGAATTTATGCACAAAGCTACACAATGCGCTATCTGTGCTCTGCCTGCCACGGGTTTTGAAACCCGATTTCTAGCGTTGTAATTCCGCAGACATACCGCTGTGCCACTGAGGGGGGGGGGGGCGTGGGATTCATTTCCCATTAATGGATACAGCGCAGATAGACCATTGTAAAGCTTCGTGCTAACCAAAGACACAAAAAAACAGTATTTAAATAATAACCTATTTTCAGTTTTAATTTTTTAAGCATTGCAAGAATTTCAGTCAGTATTCTTAAAGTTCACTCCTCTCCCGGTTTCTCAGAAAGCTCTTACCGCAATACAAATCAGCAAAGCTTCGTTGGATTATTGAAATATTCAGAGCATAAACCATTAAAAAAGATATTTTCTATTTCGAACAGCTGAACCAGAACTAAAGAATAAAAAAAATGAAATGAGTACATTTCCATTAGGATTGACTTGAAGCCTATTCTGACTCACATTTCTAATCCTTGGTAATGACAGGTTGCCAGCTACAGAGATTAATCCGCTTTCTTATACTACTGAATGTGAAGGCTAACCTTAACTTTGGTTGCATGTTTAGCAGCTAAAAATATGTGCGAGCTGAGAAAAACACCATTAGCGGGTTTTAAAAGTATGCGAGAACCATTTAGGCGGAATAAGGTTCTTTGTTCTTTTCAATTATTCTTTCTCACAAATAGCAGAGAAAACAAAGGGATAAGAAAATATAAAAAAATCTATAAGATTACAGACACTTTCACTTTTCCATATTAGTTCTTTATTATGGAAAAAGTTTCTAGGCTTACAAATAATTTCATTCCTCAAATTTTAATTAGTACCCTCTAAGTTGTATTTAATTACAAGCCACAAATGTAATATCTAAAAATTACCATGGTGAATTATGATTACAAACTAATATTTCCAACATTTTACTAATGATATATCTGACATTCTTAGTCACATAAAATAACATTGTCAAACGCCAACATATTGATAAATATATATATACACACACATTAGACTTGTGATGCCTCCAAGTGGCTCAGCTAGGTCGCGTATTTTTTTTTTACCCACCCACCACCATACCCAAAATTTAACAAAAAACGAGGCCTGGCTAACTAATGAATAAATATTTGCTGTAAAAAGTATTGTCAATGCTATAGTTGTAGCTACCAGTTTGGCCGCCAATTTGATTTCGCTCCTTTAAGTCGCACGCCAAATCCTTTTTTTTTCTTTTTTTTGCCGCATTTATGTTTTTTACACCTAGGGTGTTTTATGAGTAGATATCATGAATTTTTGTCAGTACACACCAACAAACCACATCAAAGAAATTAACCAGCATTAGCTTTAGGATCGCAATCCTTTTATTTCGAGAGACCTATATTTTACAGAATCAGCCATATTCTTTAAAATATATGGTGGTAGTTTTCCTCTCTAAAACGGTGTTAATAACTTCTTTTATAGTAACGCCATAAAATCTAGAATAACAGTTTCTTGTCATCACCCACATGCACACGGTATTAAGCATCATTATTTACGCTAATTGCGGAAGTTAATATCACGTGACGCTAAACGCTCTTTAATTAGGAGAATTTCATAAAATTTAGCAGTTAATAATGAATAATAATCGTCTACCCGTAAAATTATTTTGAAAACTTGAGCTAGAAATTGCTAATCTAGTTTGCTTGGCCTAACCAATACTTATGTATCTGCACGTGCTTTCACCCTATAGTTTTGTTGCTCTAAATCAGCCGTATTTAATTCGAACGACAAAACTAAAGACGACCACCATTAGTCTTAGGTGAAACTGTAGCTCACGTAACTTTTTGCTTAGGCAGGCGTGAATATTTTGGTCAAAATTGAGTGGGTTTTGTTGAATAACTTTGCAGGTGTGGCTTATATTTACACCAAATAAAACTCCAAATTGTAGGTTGAAAAGATCTATCGTGTACCAAATTCGAGAAAATATTTTTAAATATTTAAGTTTTTAAAAATAAAAGTTAAGTGTTTTTCTATCACATAAATTTTCCGTACTTTTAGTGTGAAGAAAAAAAAGTGAAAAAAATTCAATCAAAATTCGTGATTTTATATCTCGTGTATTTCTTAATGGATTTTCTTACGTTTTGGTGGTAAGGGTCTTGTAGAACACATCCACTGAAAATATGTGATAGTTTGGATTACCACAGTCCGAGCTACAGAATGTGGAAAATTGCTAAGCTATAACTCCTGTTAATAACACATAGTGTGTCCTGCAGGTTGTTTTCGCCGCACGGCACACTACCGTATGTCTTGAGATATATGGTTTCATAGAGTACACACTACCGTATGTCTTGAGATATATAGTTTCATAGAGTACACACTACTGTATGTCTTGAGATATATGGTTTCATAGAGTACACACTACCGTATGTCTTGAGATATATGGTTTCATAGAGTACACACTACCGTATGTCTTGAGATATATGGTTTCATAGAGTACACACTAC